TGCACACATTGTCCTAAGTTCTTAACCCTGGGTATTGTGTTCATTCTTACAGATAATATTTGATGAGAGATCTTATGTTGTTGTCATTGGTGAAAGATTTGTTACTTTTTTTCCTATGATTTCCTTTGAATTTGTTCTATTGTATACTTTCGAAGTGTGTATAGAAGCTATAGAAAATAGGGGTTTTTTCTTCTTAAACAAAGCCTTTAAGGTTCTTTTTTTGCAAAATAAAAAAAATCATTTTGTCTTAAATAAGCTTTGGTAAAAAACGTTGATAAATTGTCGTTATCAACTGACAAAAATATGCATCCAATTGGAATTGCACCAATATTACCCTAATTGAAAAATAGTCCTAACACCACTTTTTTGGAGTTAAGAAAACTAGAAATAATATAAAACAAAGTAGAGTAGAATATGGATACTTAAGAAAAAAATAATTTTTTGTTTAAATTGATTACAAAATACACATTCAACTTAGACTCTTCAACTGCACCTCAATTCTTATTATCTTTAACACTACCTCCACTAACTAATGTAATCCCTTAAATATTAACACACCACTCTCCATTACTTGGAGAATTAACTCACTGCTAACAGAAATCACTCACTCACTACAGGATATTAATTTAGCATTAGCCCATTAATGCACATTATTAAGACACTTTAATAATATAATAAAACTATAAAAACAAGTTTAGTTTTCAACACACCCCTTAAAGTTTAACACACCACTTTCTCTACTACTTGGAGAATTAACTCACTATCAACACAAATCACTCACTCACTACATGGTATACTAATGTAACATGAGCCCATTAATAGACATTATTAAGATACCTTATAATACAATAAAGCTCTAAAAACAAGTTTTTTTCTTTCCAACACACCTCTTAAACTTAATTTTGCAACTTCAAGTTCTTATCTTGCAAAGTACTTTATGATTGAGGGCTTTCTTGAAATTATTCATAACTTCATGAACTTGAACTCGACCTCCTTCAATAGCAAGGATCTTCAAAGTCATTTCCATTGGCGTGTAGGGCTTCCGATAAGTTTTCTTAGACTTGTCAATTATCTTGATTAAAACAATTTTCTTCTTGGCCCGTTTGCATTGTTTTCAATCTTCTTACACTTCTCATACTTCTTAAATTTCTCTTGTAATAGTTCTCTTACATCAAAAAATTCTTCCATATTCATCTATTATGTGTCACTTAAAACTTTCTCTACACCAAGTTATAAACAATAATTCATATAACTTTCACCAAATTTGTTACCTTGAATATGACTCGAAAAAATTATGATAAGATGGTTTTCACTTTCATGCTTGGTTGTAAAAACATCTTTTATATTTACATTATAAGATCCCATTTCGACATCTTTAATCAAGTAATTTTTTTCATTCTTTGCAAATTCTTCAATTTCTTGTACTTTCATTTCTTCTTCTTCACAAACTTCTATTTTTTTCCATTTTTTGATTTGCTTCTTCTACTTCATCATTTACTTTATTGTTTCTCATCTCTTAAACTTCAACTTTGATCCCCTTAACTTGTTTGACTTCAACAGTGGTGATGCTCTTCTTGATTCTCCATTAATGTGTCTTCAAAATCATATCATTCTTTTGTAAACTCATTTTCTTCAAAGCATTGAACTCAATTCCTTAGGCAAGAATTCACCTTCATATTTGGAGATTATACTCTTAATCAATTTTCAAATATGATTTAGAGATCTTAAATCTCCAATATACTTCAAAATCTCAGGATATATCGACATCCTAAGAACTCCAAATATGTTTTCCTCTTTCTTCTTTCCGACTCTTTTAGGTAAGCCACTCCTTGGCCTTTCTTCAATTATTTGCCACAAATCTAATGCTTCGAGATAAGAATGGAGAGTAATCTCCATTCTCTAGTATTTAGGCAATATCATATTTTCACACAAAAAATACATATTTGGTAAATCTTTCATGATCATCTTAATCGCAATGATCTATCAAGACTTTAAGTAGGGGTGTAACTTGGGTGAGTCAATCCGAATTCAACCCAAGCCTAACTCGAAAAAAAAGGGCTTGAGTTAGAATTTTTAGTACTTGGATTGGGCCTAGGCAAAAAAAATCTCAACTAGAATTGAATTTGGGCAAGCCTGGAGTTGAGGCCTCGTGTTGTGGGGTTCAACCCGANCGAGCCTAACTCGAAAAAAAGGGCTTGAGTTAGAATTTTTAGTACTTGAATTGGGCCTGGGCAAAAAAAATCTCAACTCGAATTGAATTTGGGCAAGCCTGGAGTTGAGGCCTCGTGTTGTGGGGTTCAACCCGAATATTAAAATTGAGTTAAATCCGAATATATAAAAATATATTTAACTAGGGTTAGTATTCATTTTCACTCTTTAGAATCTAAATTTTTACTTTATTTTAAGTTTTTATTCCTGCGCCTTCATCACTCTCAGATCTTTCTCTCACTTATCACTCCTCCCTCTCTCAGCCTCCCTCTCTTAATTGTTACTCGTCTGAGTCGTCTTAAACTCTCAGTCTCTTTCTCTCACTCGTCATTCATCCCTCTATCTTCATTTGTGTCTCGCCCTTCATCTCAAATAATTTGAAAAAATTAGATTTACACTTAAAAAAATCAAATCTATACTTCAAAAAATCAACTCAAATTAAGTAACTCAAGTCTAACCCGATTTTTAACTCAAAATCAGTCAGAATTAAGTAACCCGAATTCAACTCGAGCCCATCCGAATTAAACTCGGACAATACTCTGGTTGAGATAAGGTTAGGATTAGGATTAAGGTTGAATATTATATACCTAGGGTTAACCAGCCCAACTTGTCCTAGTTACACCCCTAACTTAAANATCAAATCTATACTTCAAAAAATTAACTCAAATTAAGTAACTCAAGTCTAACCCGATTTTTAACTCAAAATCAGTCAGAATTAAGTAACCCGAATTCAACTCGAGCCCGTCCGAATTAAACTCGGACAATACTCTGGTTGAGATAAGGTTAGGATTAGGATTAAGGTTGAATATTATATACCTAGGGTTAACCAGCCCAACTTGTCCTAGTTACACCCCTAACTTAAAGGGTTGTGTTGGCTTTGATAGTGGGCTATCTGGACTTCTAGGATCGTTAAACTGTCTCTAATACTAATTTATTGGAATTGCTCTAATATTATCTTAATTGAAAATTTGTTTTGATACAATTTTATTGGAGTCAGGAGAACTAGAAATAAAATAAAAATAGATGAGGACATGAACACTCAAAGTAAAAATAATTTTTTATTTAAGTTGATTACAAAGTACACACTCAACTTGGACTCTTCAACTGTAATTCTACTCTATTTATCTCTAGTTTTAGACCACATAAACTAATTATATTGGTTCTAAATATCACTCATAATCTTGCATTAACATGGTATTACCTCCACTAACTCTTAAAACCCCAAAAAATTAACACCACTTTTTTTACTATTTGGAGAATTAACTCACCACCAAAACAAATCAGTCACCGACTACATGGTATTTTAATATATCACTAGTGCATTAACACATCTTATTGAGACATCTTAATAATATAATAAAACTCTAAAAACAAGTTTATTCTCTAACACATCCGCCATTCATTCAGCTCGAAAATGATGCATATGAAAGCTACACCAGACACTGGTTGTAACATTGCATCCAAAAGTTGTCAGATTTGTTTTAAGGAAAAAAACAACTTATTGGTCCAACAATCAAGTGTGGTGATAATTTTTCATTTGGTATAGGCACCATATAGTACTACCACATGGTGTCTTATTACCACCCAATATTTTCTCCTGTAACATCATACAATTGTAACATAATCTGATCAAATTGCTTGAACAACTCTTAATAAAGGACTGATACAAGCAAAGAAAGGCATGGCAATCAATACGTCATAGATCTCTCGGGCTGATGGGCAATTTTAGAGATCTATCGGTATTCGATACAAATAAGAGGATTCAAGAAATTGGGTAAAAAGTTAGGAAATTTATTTTTGTACAGTATGCAAAATTTAGAAATCATATCCGATACAGACAAAAAGAAATTGTGGTTCGGGTTGTACTATTATATATAGCTAGCAAGCATAACCAAAGAAAAGGACATTAAATAGTAGGAATATAAATTATAAAAGAAAAGAAAAATATAGGCAAACAAAGCAACAAAGATGTGTGTTGGGAGTGTGTGTGAGTGATTTTGTCATTGTGTGTGTATATATATATTCACGTATATATCGCATTTAAGATCTCCAAGACAAAAATTTTCGGGTGATCTTCGGATGGTTTAACACCAACTAACAAATACATCTAATATAAGTAGTAGTAGTAGTAGGTTCATTTATTAGATTGATTTCATTTTTACCGACAATTATAACTATAGGAGTGATGTGATCATATCAAATGGCCACCTGTGGCGGGCACAAGATCCTTCAGAATCTTAAAAGAGACAAGACTAAAGAAAAGTAAACATAAAAATGGAAAATATTAATCCTAGAAACCCCCAGATACTGTAATTTTGCATATGTGTATGTGTGTGAGTGAGTGAGAGAGAGAGAGAGAGAGCGAGAGACCCATTTTCAAATGATTAATGTTCCTAACCTTAGTAAGAGTAAAAGCGTCATGTTATATTAAAATGAGTTATTCTGTATCTTTACTTTCAAAGAAACTATGCAAATTAGGGTTTTGAAAACATTGGCCTAGGGTTTGCTCATGAAGAGAATGGGATGGCATCAATTTTTTACCAGAATGCTCAGTTCATTCATCGGTTTATTTTCTTTTTTCTGGGATTTCCTCGTTTGATCGATGATGTTTGATCTGATCCAAATAAAAACCAATCACATAGCAAGCAGTACATTTCATCAACATCACAGCAATACAAAGTGATTTAGTCAAAATTCACACTATCAACCAGATCCTGCTTCTAAATGAAGTTATATGCTTATAACAAAGATTGGGAAACTTACCTTTCTCTTGATGATAAGCGAAAAATCAATCAAGATGACTGCATCTGAAAGTTCGGGGTATCATCGTTAGCCGTCTGTTGATTTATCTTCTTCTTCTTTTTCTTCTTATACGGTATGCCCCGTGCCTTAGCCTGAGAGTCCCTAACGTCACGCAGATACAAACGTATAGACCCACTGGCGAAAGGGTTCGTCTCGGGGGAGCCACCGTTCTCCTCGTACGCAGCCCTAAGGCGTCCGATGAGTGCATCAAGGCTTCCCCAAGCTTGCCTAAGTGGACAAACACAAGGCCCTGGTGGTTCAGGCTGTCCAAAAAACACACACCCTTGTAAGTGCACCTTTGTCTTCCCGAACTGATCAAGGTACCTAAGGAATTCCAACACATGATTATAGTTGCACTGTGGCATCAACACCGGTGGCCTCTGATTCCTCAAATACTGTCCAAAGGTGTTCCAGTCTCGCCGTTTCTGTGACTCGTACCGGCTCAGTTGAGCTGGTTGTTGCTGCTGATCAGATGGTGCAGAAACTGTTCTTGATGATGATCCTTCTCCAGATTCTCTTCCTCGGCCACTCGACATCATAGATGATTTTTTTTTTTAATTTTTGTAAGATCAGAAGGAAGTTAGTATTAATGGAGGTGCAAGAGAGAGAAGAGAAATACCAGTGGAGAAACATGGAAATCAAATCATGGAGCTATTGAGGAGACATGGTATGGGTCCAATGAAAGTGCTTTAGTTCCTCTTTTTCTTCCTTGGTGACACTATTTTCTTTCTTTAATTGTACTATTAGCATTAAGTATGCTTTTTAATTTTTTTTTCTATATATTTATAATTATGCTACCATCATCAGAGCAATCATTGTTAAGCGTATTAGCAAAAATTGCCACTATAATTTAACTCCTAGTGACTAGGTATAGCTCTGAGCTAGTGCAGCTAATCTCGATTACACAACAACTGGAAGAATCAATTTTAAACCTTCATTACCTATATGCTTTCTAGCTATCTAGCTTACTAATTAAACTATTGCTATTTTTATGAAAATGTTCTTTAAACCTATGTTTTCAATGAACAAACATATTTGTTATAAATGCTTTCAAAATTTTTCACTGAAATGTGTTTCGAAAATACATATTTTCATCATGCTTTAATTTGTAGAAAGAACGATAGACTGGTAAATAAGTTAAAAGCTTATGTATTTAGATAATAAGTTAAAAATTACTGTAGTTATCGATTCGCTTTTGAAAATTTGACTTAAACAGTAAAAAGTGAAACATGACAATATTTGCGGTGTTTAAAGTAAGAAACTTGTCCCCCACAAAAATCTTTTGAATAGATTTGGAAGCATGGTAGGATGGCTACTTATGGTCTTGAAATGGCCATTAGAATGGTTAATTTCTAATGGAATTCATCTATTAATTGAGAGCACATGAAAAATTGTATGAAACTAGCAATTTAATTAAACAGAAAAAGTCATGGTCATATGACAAAGGCATAATAGGCCCCAGTAGTAAGTTGGTGCGTTTCTATTTCAAACACAAATTTGGATTAGAATTCCTCTTTGATTAGTTAGTAAGAGATGCTCAAAGTAAGTTAATTAATGTACCTTTCAATTAAGCTCGAACTTCAGCAAAATTTGGCAGACAACCATATATGGTATGGTGGCAAGGACGGCAGCACAGAAATCGTGGGGTGGGGTAGTGGCGGTGGTGGTGGTAGCGGTGGTGGCGGTGATGGTGTTTCAAGAAAAGAACACCAAAGGTTTTGTGGGTCATGAATGAATGTTTGTTGAACATAGGATTTCCAATTAAACAGATCAACTTTGAGGTGGCTTTGATTGCATTAGAAAGACGACTACTTAGAAACTCCGATTATTTGGAAAAAAAAAAAATCATTCTAGGTACACAAAGTTTTTGCTTATACCAAGTCTAGAAGACATAATTAATAATCGACTTTAACCCTATTACTCCCTGATTTCAAACCCCACCACATATCGTAATTAGTACTTAATCACTTTCAAGTCGACTTCTAAATAACAACTATTTGTAATTGATTTAGAACTATTTGTAATTGATTAGAATTTACCCCCTTAAATGAAAAAGTGAGAGAATGTAATTGCCCAAAACTCACTCAAGGATCTTAACCCTTTGATTCAATAGGTGAAGAAGCAGGCACATATAAATATGCTCTATTCTATGGTGATATGATTGAGTACTCTCAAAGATATTTACTTGTAGAGTAAAGAGAGATGGCCATAACAACTCAAATAATCTTATTTTTTGCCAATGACCAGGGCTATGACACTAGTAAAATTGTATTATAATTCCCACCACAGTCACCTGCATTATCAGTAGCGGGGAATTATGATACTGCAAAGTTATGTTTCTATATTTATAACAATTGATTACGAAAATATTTTACACAAAATTATGTTTTCATTGGACAAAGAAATGAAAATACGGTGCCGAAAATAATCAAAGTGTTACCCACCAGACTAGTGACATGCTTAATGAAAATAATTTACCGTACTGTATTGCTAGTGATGTTTTTGTTGTTGCTCGACTGGTTTCCTTTATCATTTCTTCTTTGTAGCTTTTAAAGAAACATGAATACGTAAAATGAAATACCAAATGTACCCTTGGTCCATGTTTCCCATATTCAAGCTACATGCCAGTACTACTTGTCTGCATCCATGGAATTTTGTTTTCCTTATACTGTGGAGAGTCCAACTTTCGCATTGAAGGAAGACATGGCCAGTGGCCCAGTAGGTTTGGTGTTTGCTGCACTGTTATTTGAACTTGAAGGCATTTTTTGTGGATAAGGGGTGAACTCTTCATTACATATATATTCCTTAACACTCATCCTCTAGCTTTCCCCCCTTTTTCTCTAGTAAGAAATTTCCTGGTCTCTCTCTCTCTCTCTCTCCCACTAGCATACAGTTGTGAATCTTATAGAAAGCAAGATGACTCCCGCTACATGTCTCTGTGTGTGTTTTAAGAATAATGTTACGCACGCCACTTTCATGCAGCACCTCATTTACGCCTCTTGATGTAGTACAATTACAATAATTGACTTTTAAATAAATTTTATGAGACCCAATAATCTAAGAAAAATACTATTTGATGACCTAATTTAGGGACTGACTAATGTACAACTATTGGATTGGTTGTAGGCTTCATCTAACATTGGAACTCACAACTAATCTAATGATTGTATTGAAATCAAATTATTAGATCCCCAGATTAAATCACAAAATAAGATCCATATAGCATTGCTCATAATCTNGGGGTGAACTCTTCAGTACATATATATTCCTTAACACTCATCCTCTCGCTTTCCCCCCTTTTTCTCTAGTAAGAAATTTCCTGGTCTCTCTCTCTCTCTCTCTCTCTCCCACTAGCATACAGTTGTGAATCTTATAGAAAGCAAGATGACTCCCGCTACATGTCTCTGTGTGTGTTTTAAGAATAATGTTACGCACGCCACTTTCATGCAGCACCTCATTTACGCCTCTTGATGTAGTACAATTACAATAATTGACTTTTAAATAAATTTTATGAGACCCAATAATCTAAGAAAAATACTATTTGATGACCTAATTTAGGGACTGACTAATGTACAACTATTGAATTGGTTGTAGGCTTCATCTAACATTGGAACTCACAACTAATCTAATGATTGTATTGAAATCAAATCATTAGATCCCCAGATTAAATCACAAAATAAGATCCATATAGCATTGCTCATAATCTAATAGTATATATGTTGAGGTGATGCGGTAAGATGATGTTTGTAGCATTATTGGTGTTTTAATGATTGACTTGAATTCATTTTCACCACGCACCCTTCCTTTATGGTTTTTACGTAAATTCAAAATAAACGCATATATATATCAACAAATTATATAAATCGAATCAACCAAGTTATATCATAGAATACTCAAACTTAGACCTTTGAGATACCAAACATGAAAACCATGTCATCCCAAGTAGAGTTAAAGAGATGCCTATCTTAACAATACCTTAGGAGGGGCACCCAAGTGGTCAATAATATACTTGCTTGTTCTTGAAAGAAACTTGTCATTAATTTCATTCACAGCTGATTCAGGATAAGATTTGTGAAGTAGCTTTAATCAACTGAAATGGGTGTGACTTGACAACCTATATACTGTTTGAGTATAGTGTTCAGTCCCCACTTCTCATATCCATTTGTTTTTCTGTTCAGTTCTTTTAATTTTGCTGAAATTAGCAGAATATTTAAGTCAAACCTTTCAATCAAGAGCAAATCTCTAACATGAAAACCTTTCAATCAAGAGCAAGTAGTTCACATTTATTAGCGGAAACCAGTAAATATCATGCATTTAAATCACTCAACTCTATGAGAAAAAATGAAACGGCATGCCTCTAGTCTTTAACAACCTACTATGTTTGACTGCATTGTGTCCCGTCACTCTGAAATCTAGAAGGGTCATATGCATACAACTTTCGCATGCGGAGAGAGTGTTTTCGCATGTTTATGCGGGATAAAAATTGTCAACTAAATTGCTAGGTAGAGTGAGCAAACTTATTGAGGTAGACATTGTAGTTTGATGAATCAGTTCAAACAAAATGTAAAAAAGTTAAGATCAGCAGAATATATGTGAAGGGTTAGAAATTCTTGGTTTTCAATGGGAGAAAGAATTGGACCACCTAGAGAGAGAGAGAGAGAGAGAGAGGGGGGGGGTATCATGAAGATGGCAAGGAAATTGACATAAAGACTTTTGGGTGCAGAAGAAGTACTTCCAGCCAAATCAGCATAAAGGGAAAGACACTGACCATTGGAGCAAAATCACTAACATCTTCAGGAAGAATACTTTGCCATGCTTCTCACTTACAAAACAAATTTAGTGAATTTCAAAATAATTCATATGTTGATATGTATCCAGATCCAGTCTAATTAAAGTATTACCTCAATCCAACACTTTCTCTCAATTTTCTCAGTAAACTCACCTCTTGTGTATTAGTTATAGACTCATGTATGTATAATAGGTCTCTCTTAAATACATGAAAAGTGATATTCAAATCGTCTCGGACCACAATCCTATTGAATGAATTCAGTTGAATACATTTGACTGCTCATAATAATGGTGATGACTTAGAATTGTAAGACAAAATATGCCTAAGGACCACAAAAGAAATTTGGGCCATTGTCTCCTATATTTGCCAATGGGAATATGCTACAAGCTAGTAGTACTAGTCTTTTCCTTTGCAAAAAAATCCAATCTTGAAAGTCATTAACTGTAACTGAATTTGTGGAAAGATTACTCTATTTCCTATGGCTAACAGCACCTTTGATGTATAGCAGAGGATCCTGACTCTTTCCTTACGTCTTCACATTGGATTGTTTCAAGAGCCAGCAATGACCACTAAACAGATTTCTTTTCTTTTTTCGTTTTGGTTGGGGGAGGGGGAGGGGGGAAGTGACAAATAGGGTGGAAAATAGTTTGTTTTCCTTATCAAATAACTTGAAATTAAAGGAAAAAGAAATAAAAAGGGAAAGTATGTATCAATCAAGTTCCTGATCTAAAAGGGAAAAAAAAANAC